CTAAAAGGGCATAATATGGGCTCTTTAAGAGTTCTTATTTAAAACAATGATGAACACTTTTTCAATGCAGTTGGTGTATTGAGCCGAAATAAGCCAAACAGATCTTCAACTGGTGGTTTGTGCACTCGCCCCATGTACGGAGGCCCTCCAAGCGGAAAAACCCTGGGTTCAAATCCAACCTGTGGCTACTCTCACACATGTTGTTCCCAACTCTCTCTCTCCCTGATGTCTGACTCTATCCAGTCTGTCCTCTTAAATAAAGGCATAACAAAACAGATTTTCATAGTGACAAGCCTCCCATAGGACTGCTGGAGGTAAAATATATAAATACATAATGTTTCTTGTGTGTTCTCAGCTTCTCAGTAAAATAAAGTATTTTGCCAAGAGGACTTCATGTTCTTTACTTAAGTGAAGTACAAATAACATACTACCAGTTGTTTTTTTTCTACAACCTTAAATAGTGCATGTGATATACAACCATCAGGAATATGACTTCATGTGGGTGATTTTTATCCATGCATTCATTTTTATGCAGGATTTTCTAATGCTATTGGTTGAGGTGAAACAGTTGTTACTTCATAACCTAATTAGTTTCTTTAATGAATGAATCTAATCTATAGTAAGGGTAGATGTTTAAATGATGGTTGCGGTTGGATCTTAAAACGGTTTTGCACAGTCAGAATCAATGTGACCCCCAAAAATCAAAATCAAAATCGAATCGTGAGACACACAAAGAAGGATCTCATCTTAGGAGGTCACATGTACTGAATCTATAAGATGCTACACGGTAAACACTCCTAAGCCTGGGGAGTCAAATACTGTCAGGAAACATGTGACATTTGAATGAGGCTCTTCTGGGTTTTCTGGTACATCAAGCTAAAAGGTCACGCTACTGTAATTGATCTTTTCCTTTGATAATAGGGCATGGATTGACACATGCTTCTATAGGGGCACCGGCTACAGTCACTGCTCTACAAATATAATTAGTGAAGTTGCTCGGGGAGTCATTAGGTACAGGGAGACTTAAGCTTAGAGGACAGAGTTCAGCCATGGTGACGGAACTCAAACACAACAGCTTTTTTTTTCCTGTCGTTGCATACAGCATCGTGGCAGATTTACCTTGAAAACTTGAAGTCAAAAAGAGACATTCATTGCATCACTATTGTGATGTGCTATGGCTTGTCTTGTGAATTTCATGTCATGACTGTTGGCTTGGCTTTCTTCGAGATCAACGCCTTATTAGAATGCGTGTTGGCCGCAGGTGATTAATGACTCAGTATGTATCTGGCATCCAACACAAGGCTTACCACCTTTATTGAATTTCTACTGTGTGAAAATGAATCACAGCAAGTTTGTCACATCTATTAGTTTTCCATTTCTGAATGAGCTGTCAATTAGGCATAGATGTTGATTACTGAAGGAGTTCCCGGCTCTTCCTTTATGCAGTGCCATGATGGTGCAGGGCTTGCCGACCGTACATCCTGAGTGTGCATCAGCCACAGCTTAGAGGTAAAAACTCTCCTGATCACATCTGATGCTGTAATGGAGGAAGAGAGATCATTACTGTATAAGTGGACACAGATGAGAAATACCTCTAAAGAGTCCGCAGACAAGAGCAGAAAGTGATAAAGTAATAATTTCCTGGCTTTTAGGATTCCCCTGTTATTTATTTGTCCCTGTTTTATATTATTTATTTTGGCACTTACTGGGGCTGTGGTGACAACAACAGATTTGGGATATATGACATTGCATTGAAAGATCATCCTTGTGGGGCCTTGTGCCCTAACTCCCTCTACCCATTTTACCTACACCACATGTCGTAGACCAGGGGTCTCCAAACTTTATAACTTTTAATTTCAAGGCTACTTTGACAATAAAACAAGGAGGCTAAGTTTACTGTAGGTCTTAGAGGATGTAATGTTTAAAAGAAACAGAGCCAAATAATAATGAAATGATCATAAATGATGTTGAGCAGTGTAAGCTGTCCAGGTGATTTCTTCATTGTCTCAGGCCTAGTCCACACAGAGGTTTTTTTTGTGTGTTTTGGACTTTTCTTACAGACACACCATTTGGAAAAATCGTTCCAAGGTGAAGATTTTCAGAAACTCCATTTAAGGTGGTTATGTGTAGACAGGGAAAACAGAGTTTTGGGTTTGTAATGTCAACATGTGCGCCGGTTTCTCCTCCGTTTGACATCATTGCCGGTAGATGTAAAGGATAAACCTCTTTTATATCTACCGGCAGCTGTTTTCATCACCCAAAGGTCCACCTTTACAAATACCTCTGCAGAAAGGTGTTTTTTATCTCTCACGGTTTGACAAGAAGACACACCTTTTACTGGTCTCTAATTTCACACTGCATGCTTGTTGAGACCAATACCACACTGTAGAATACAAATACTGTTTTCTTCCCCGAGTTGACTGTGCAGGACTAGAGTTAATTAGCGATTCAATGTCCTGAGCAGCTTTTGAGATAACTGTCTGCAGCAACAAGATTGACATGAAAGCTAATGAGAAGGCATGTCAGTTCCAGTCTGTTCTCTCTCCCCCAACTTGTCACGGAGAGAGCAGCTTGATCTGTGGCCCCAGTGCTTGAAATACTCTGATCTTGGTACCCTTTGAGCATTTTTTTATTTGGAGGGTGTCCTTTGGCATATTGTTTGATGTTCCATTAAAGTCTATTGACTTGGAATGAAGAGCTTGACATTCCTCTTTAGTGGCTGGCATTGATGATGGATCATAAGGTAGACTAGGGTTAGGCTCATATGTATAACCAATATCAATTTTGACTTTTTATAAACGATGTAAAAAACACAAATTTATGTAACACTGGTAATTTAGATACATTGGTTGAATATTAAAATCATGTTTGTGAGGTAACATAACTTATTACATACATATATTGGTACTAATTTCAAACCAAATCTTTATTTAATGCCTGAATTAAGACAATTAACATTTTATCAGAGCAGTTTTTTCCTCTACACCAGTCCACAAATTGGGGGACCATTGGTGCATCCATTGGGCGTTTTCTCTTTTTTTCACAGGTTCACCATAACTTAGGGAATATTTCTTAATTGACCAGCTCGTACCATCAGGGCTGTTCTGTTCATATGATGCTATTTATCATAGCAGATAATGAGCAACAAATCAGAAGACGTGATTATAACCAACCACCCTGATGCCATATTTGAGATTTTGTTGCTTTTGTTTCTCAACAGATTCGTTTTCTTTTCATTCTGGAAGTAAGGTCTATTCTAGTGTTGCAACGCCAAAATTGCATAAAGTACTACAATTAATACAGGAAGAATTTCAGTACTGAATAACATTACTGAAAAACTGTTGTTTAATAAGGTAGAGAACATCTTTGAGCCATGCACAGTGAAAGAGAGGAGTGGGTAGCAAAATCTGACATCTTGCCAGAGGAGTTACAAAGGCCAACGGATCTGTTTTACATTTGAGTTATTGTAGGTTAAGAAGCAGAAGATGAGATGTGTAACAAGAGGATCAAAAAAAGACTTCACAAAACCTGGGGTATTTCTATTTTTTTACTTTCTTTTGCATTTCCCCAATTACTGATAATGAATGTAAGATCTTTAATATTTTTTTTGGGCTGGAATGCTGTATTTGCAGTATGTCCCTAGTCTATGTGTATGTATATTTATTCATACATTTAGGCATATATGAATACACATACTGCTCTTTTTAGTTCCTGGTCTGTCAACCAGGCTCTATGTTACATTGTGTTGTGTTGTAGTTGTCTTCTTAGTTTCTACAGCACACTTATATTACTGCAAAATTCACTGCATTCTTTTTCTGTTTTATAATACTGCAATACACAAAGTTATGTTGAAAAAAAAACATGTTTCCTAGACCTGAAAAAGTAGATTGCTTAACAACATTAACCTTATGCCAATTGCAGTTGTACTGCCAATACTCATAAAAGCTACATTAAATTTAACGCAGCATACTTTATTAATAAACTCTAAACTCGACCATGCAGCCCTTCACATGCAAAACTGTCTCTGGAGAGAACCTGCATTGTCATTTTTTGAAGTAAAGGACATCTGACTGTATCTTCTGTACATCATGAGTCTGGAGTTAGAACATGTCAGACAGTTGCTACCATTGTAGCTTCCACGGGTTATGATTTAGAACTGAAATCTCACTTTCCAAAGTATGTTTACTGGCACTCGTCTCTTATTTAAAGTACAGATGTCTTAAAGAAACATGCAGATGTGGGCACAGTTAATCCAAAATTAAACTCTGTTAACCGTCTATCTGCTAACATGTTAACTTCCGTATCAGTTAATCCATTAATTCTGTTAATATTTATCTGAAGTTAAAATTAACACTAACATTAATCGATATTATCAAAAAGAAAGAAAAAATCAGCTTTTTAGAATGTTAATAGATCCGACTTCTTAAGAGGCCCGTAATGTACTCTTAACTTTTGAATAACACCTCATTTGACCAATTACGGCCTTCCATTCACTGTTCCTAGGCTACTTTAACCAATGAGAGCCTGAGTAGAAAAGGGACTTTCTTTTCTCTCTCCCCTCCATAACACTGGCAAAACTCAAGATACAGATGTGTGAGTTGAAAAAAGGGAGAACAACAGGGAGTCTCGCCTCTTCAGAGAGTCCGGAAAAATTAGGTAAAGTAACTTTGTGTTGAAGTTAGTGAATTCAAGTAATAAAAAAGACGTTATCAGAAACTGAATTTAACGGAAGTTAAATGTTCTGGTAATCATTTTCCAAATCAACATTGTGTTTGAATTTATTATTTTTTTGAATGCAGCGATAATTAACGTTTAATATAAGAACGGTCGTGCAACGACTAAAAATGCGCTGTTTTAGATGTGACATTATGGTCTCTGTTCTGTCATGTATTGCAACGGCACCACCTGTTGGCCTGCAAAAAACTCATAGAGGAAGTGCACTTGTTTCAAAGGAAACAGGAAGTGTGCACTCTATAAAAGGAACAGGAAGTTGGGGGTTCTTCCTTTTGTCATCGTCATAGCACACATGTGCCAACTCCTGGAGGAGCTCAACAACGAACTGACTTGTGTCGCTTAAGACAGCAACGGCTGTAAGTCATTTATTATGCATGATTGTGAGGTGGCTAGCCCTTAGTTGTTTTGACAGAATGTGGTTGCAGAATCTGTATTTTTGACTTGCTTACCGTAACATGTAGTTTAGCTTAGTTTAGCATGTAGCTTAGTTTAGCCCATAGCTTAGCTTAGCATAATTAGCTTAGCATAATTAGCTTATCATTAATGTTATAATTGTATTACAAGTGAAATTGATTATTTAATTATGTGAAGTTATTTATAGCACCTTGCTAATCTGTGCATTTTCTTTTGTTAAAGTATTCACTCTGAATTCAACCTTGATGAATAAACAAGATCAACTGAGAACCTGACTCACTCATCATTTGAATCGAGTTTGGCTGACCGTCGAACTGCGTACCCCCGTAGGTAGGACAGTTACAGTCTACACTCTCATTCTTAAACATCCCAAACTGTGTCTAAAGCTTTCTTTCTGTCCATGTACTCTGATTCAGAATCACTTAAATACGACACATTGTGAATCTCCTTCTATGCTTATCACTTGATCAGTCTATCGCTAATTGCCTGTGCTTTGCACTATCACGTCTGACAGCCGAATTACTTGTACTGCTTCTGTGGGTATTTTTTCTTTAAGAGAAGCACAGGTGATAAATCTAGCCCTGAGCAGTGTGCTTTTATTTGAATAATTGTAGCTGCCTTGAGGCACCACTTCAGTGGATATCATTGGTTAATGGGAAAGGATGCTAGGACTTAATAGAAACGTAGAAGTTTTGAGGTATTTCAAAGCCTTCCGTTTAGCTGAAGAAAACGTGAGAGGCAGGGTGAATAGTTTCTGTATCGATTGCTGCTTTAATTCTAAATAGAGACTGACAGTTCAGGCAGCTACTGGATCCTCCAATGGCTGAGTCAGTGCCTTGTCGCTGTCACAGCTGTGCTTGCCCGTGGCAGGTTTGTTCCCGTATCAGTGGATAAGGATATCCATCTTCACACCTCAGGGTTCTCAGAAGGCAGCAGCTCTCCCAATCGGTCAACTTTGCCAACACCAAGCAGGGCATTTCAGGTGATCAGCCTTTCCCTGGGATGCATTGCTCAACCTTTCAACGGGAACCTTTTTGGTGCTGGTGCAGGAAACTTGGGGGGGGGAGACTGGTATTTGAAGTGATTATATTTTACTTCAAACTATTTCTTAATGTGCCAGATTGACTGTATCAAACCAGCAGGAAAGATTATGATGAATAATTAACTGAAAAACTTACCAAACAACCACAGAAGTTCTCTCTCTCTCTCTCGCTCTCGCTCTCTCGCTCTCTCTCTCTCACATATATGTCGGCTTATCTCCCTCACTCTGTATATTCTTCCTTTGAACATTGTTTCATTTCTTCTTTCACAAGAACTGTTTTTTTATTTTCTTAAAAAGAAGGTCAAAGGTGAAAATATTTAAAATACTGCCTGCAGGTTAACTTGTATTTTTATTGTATTTCAATCAGTATCATATTTGTATTGTTTATAGGTGAATCAGTTACATGATATAGTTTTGCTTCCACATCTATCATTCAGCACCTGGGGGCAGCAAGGAGTGGCATTAAAACAAAACTTCCTGATGGAATAATTTGCTCTTGTGAGTGATTTGTTACCATCAGTATTATTTTCATTCAGTTTCATAAGCAGTTTAAACTCCTTACAGTAGGCTGAAACAGTCGCAGTGCAACATTTTCAAGTTAAAATGAATCATTAATGTTACATTAGTCATGTATACCCTCCTATGAAAAAAATCATTGGCACTTTGCAAGACTGTATTGGACTATATATCCAGCTGTAAACATAATGCTTGTATGGTACACATGAACAGTATGTTTCTATGCAGATTCTCCAGCCACAAGTTCATCCTCTACTAAATGTTTCATGGGCTTTTCTTCAGCTCATGTAACACAGCATGTGCTTGTGTTTGGGGATTTCGCAGTATTCTGGCAATGCATTCTCAGCAGATGTTCTTGAATTGTTGTAGTCTTGTTTCTCAGCTTCCCGGGCCTGTGAAAAAAACTCTCTGCTCAATGCACTGAACAAGTCCTAGTGACTTAAGCCAGCTCAGTAAATATGCACTGCACAGAAAAATAGTTGTCTTTCTGCACCTTTTTGTCTTTAGGATACACTTCAGCTGTATAGTACAGTACAAAGGCATTTTCAGGAAGCAATTTAGGAATAACAGGAGGCATCTCAAAATAAAGACAAACAAATCAAAGAAATATTCAAAATTTGAGCAGCTAGAAAATAAGCGGGTTTTATATATTGCAGCCAAGTATGTGTGTTAACTGAGACTTCAGGAACTTGTATTAATGCGTCATTTTGTTCCATCGAAGAAAGGACGGCCGATACTGAAAATGTTTATAGTTCACGAGAAAAGGAACCAACGAAAAAAATATTATTTATAGAATCTGCTGAAACAAGTTAAGTTTTTTTTTCCTGATTCATGCATCAATCCAGCAATTGTGGAATGTATTTTTTAAGAGAGATGCATGATTTAAAAGTCAATTAGACCTCTGCAGATTGAAGTCGCAGACTTAAAGCCAATTGCCATATAGTCCGTACGCGCTGCGTTCCATCAGCATCAGTTTCGCTCCGTCGGACGGCGCACGCCATGCACCCACTGGATCCGTTTCTGGAACGTGAGTGCAGCGGAGCACAGCCATGAGCAGCTGTACACACATCACAGGAGAACTACAAGATCACACAGGAATAAACAGGAAAATGTGCAAAACAACATGTTGCTTTGTATTTCTGTAGTTGTTGTGTTGTTAGTGTTGTCAGTTTTTATGTAATGTTGATAAAGTGATGGAAATTATGATTTTGAGTCCTTCTCTGGCTCATTCTATTCTGTCAGCTTGATGAGTGCTTGCAGCATGCTTCTTTGAAAATAGACCTGCAACATATTTGGGGCGGCAGTAGCTCAGTCCGTAGGGACTTGTGTTGGGAATAGGAGGGTCACTGGTTCAAGTCCCGGCACGGACCAAGTCCGGAAGTTGGTCTGGTAGCTGGAGAGGTCCACTTCCTGAGCACTGCTGAGGTGCCCTTGAGCGAGGCACCAAACCCCACAACTGCTCTGGAGCAGAGTGTAGTGTCGCTGCTGGCATGCTGCAGAGACAGACGGCGGCGCCTGCTGTGGAAACATGAGCACTGACTACAGTGGCAACCAACAGGGCATGGCACTGACGGACCGCATTATGGGGGATTAGTGTGGGTAAAGATCTAAAAACACTGCAGCCTGCTGTTTCATTTAGCAATCATTAAACTATCCTTAATATGTTATGGGATCTTGTAGAAATACTGTATGTTCATAATTGTTTCTCTAATTATTATATTATTGGGTATTCATGACTAAAAGGTCAAGTTTGGAGTTACAGTATAGATCCTTACTGGATTGAACAGATCAAAATAATTATGGCTAATTGATCTGTTTTGTATGAGTATCTTAAAGTAGCAGTGGTACATTAACTGCTCTTGGTCGTGGCTTAACCTCCAGCTGATGCTTTGATAGGAAATAAATAAATTATTAAGTTGGAGACAAAGCACAACATCAATAGGAATATTCTGATTCCTACATCTGATTTTCTTCGACAAGCCCGGCTCCCACACTCACTAAGGCTGTGACTTTTTTTTTTTAACGTCCTTTGATTTTTTTTTTTTTTTTTAAAGTGATGTTTTTAATTGCGCAAGCATCAGAATTGACACCGCTTCTGTGCCCTTTCATTTGCAATTCTCTCTTTCCTCTTTAAGAGATAGAAGAGGCAAACCGCTTTATTTCAGTGCCTCTGAATAATTGATGTGTAATGCTGTTGTGAAGTGGAAAGCACCTCATGGTGGCTGCTTGAGCGAGCAAGAGAGACACGGTGCACCTTTTTTTTTTTTTTTTTTTTCAAGATTCCTCCTCCTGATTTAAGAACAGAGCCAAAGACAGGGGAGAGAGAGGGGGAGGAGGAAAGGGCAGTCAAAGGAGAGAGGCAGAGAACTGACCACACACACACACACACACACACACACACACACACACACACACACACTGCCACCCCCATGGCCAGTGATATCATTAACAAGGCTGGTAGTTCTGTTCTGCAGGTTAAAAGAGAGAGAGTTTAGGACTAGACAGCAGAACAACAAAAAGACTAAGCCAGGTGAGGTTCGGGGTCAGGGGAGATACACTTAGCCTTGCGATCTTTCGGAAGTGTTTTGATCCACAATAAATGCAATATAGATAAAGTTTTATTTCAACTATTAAAAGTATTTTTGTAAATAAAAAACAGCACCTTCCTGCAGAAAATTCACTTAATAGCCTCTATTTTTGTTAAGCAGATCGGACACTGTTGACAATCTAATGATCATCGGATTGAGTTTTACTAGACAGCGATGTGTTGAAAGGATTTCCAATAATTCACACTTACTAACATAATACAAAGCACTCTACCCAATCTCATCCCCAGGCGCGGAGCCTATGGGTCATTGCAGAGGGGGCGGGGACCAATAGTGGGCCCTCAAACTGTCTATAGGCTATATAGCATATGCTGTAGCCTATATAGTAATGTAGTATAGCATTTATGGTTTAATATCGGCTGTATGGAGATACAAGACGGGGCGGGACGAAGAGAAATGCCGCTGCAGATTACAAAGGGTGCTATTACAGTGACAGGGACTTATCAGTGAGTGACCTGCTGATGTTTAAGCAGAACAAGTGCTGATATGTCTGTGCGCATATTCCACCGATTAAACAAGTGAAGCAGACTTCATTATCCGGACGAGAAACCAAAGATAGAAGGCAACTACAGTTTGACATTCAGTGAAGTTGGACGCTCATCCAGCCACACAGACAATACAATAAAACCACACATTATCAACCCACGCACCACAACAAACTTTGTTAACAGTGTGACAGCAATGGCCTGCCGTTCATACAGTACGATAACCAGCAGACACGGCGGTCTACAACACATGGACCCACAAACAAAAGACCAGCATCTCAGCGTAATCTCTAATAATGATGAAACAACTTCCCAATGAAGTTTTCATCAGCACTGTTGCTTTCCTGCAGCTAGCTGGGTGCTCCTCCTAACATGTTTATTTGCTTGGTCAGTAGCGTTTACGTTAGTGGAGCTAGCAATGGGAGGAGACTTGCCAGGTTGAGTTGTCAATGAGAAAACATTTTTTATTTGTTTTTTACACTTTTAATGTTCTGAAAAACTGTGAGGTAAACAGAAATAAAGCAGACAGACGACTAGGTTTTTAAAACTCCAGACAGCAGCGGGGGCCCAGCAAAGGGGGTGCTAAGAGATGGAATCAATGACATTACAAACAGGCCACAGCACCCTGCTGGTGCTGTTTGCTGCCGAAGTTGAGAACCCCCTTGGCAGTGGAGGGGGGCCCCTCTCTCCTCTACAAAATAAATTGTGTGTCTTGATTGCGGCAAAAGAAAAGAGAGACTCAGACCTAGTCAAACTAACTTTATTTGAAAATTCAACTAAATAATAAAATGCATGTTAAATTTGGCTCAAAGTGGGCCCCTTAAGACAACAGTGGGCCCCTTGAGACAACAGTGGGCCCGGGGTGGCCACACCTTCTGCCCCCACACTCGCTCCGCTATTGCTCATCCTAAATCAGGATAAATGCCTGAAAAGACAAGCAGGCTTTGACTTTGCTTGGTGAGTCAGCAGAATTCTTAAACTTGTGTGCTTCATTTTAAAAAAGTCCTTCAATCTTACAAGACAAAAGCCTTTTCGTGTCAGACTTCACATTACATAATGTGGTTGTGTGGGCATGAATTATTTGCCCATGCAGCCTTAGTGGCTCTTGAACTTATGTCCCCAAGAAACTAGAACCCCATTGAAGGCCTGATTTACAAAAGGCTATTCAACTCCTGTTAAACCGGTGCAAATGATGCAAAGTACACCTTCTAACACATCCCCAACTGCGCTGTAGAGCAAACTCTTCTGTACGCTGGTGCTCATCATCATTATGTCGACACATTTGTGCTCTGAGAGCGCAGCCTCAGCACCGGACGTGAAGATGTATTCTCTCCACATTCAGACGCAAATTCAAAAGCAAACTGAGCGGAGCCGGACAACTTTAAGGGCATGTTTGCGCCTGAGATATCACAAGCGCTATTTGCTCTGTGAGCTAGAACCTCGAGACTGAGCAGAGGGAGCAACAATGTGCAATTTGTTGAAGCGATCAGTGGCTGTAATCCATTCTTTGTGAATCAGGATTGTTGGGTTTTCACCAAAATCATGATCTCCCCCTTTACTAACCAATCCTTTTTTTGCCTAATATTTAACAATGACTAATGTCAGACTTCTTCTTGGCCAGGTGTTGAAAAATCAGTCAAGCTTCTGTTGACCAATGATCGATTGCACGGATTTCTACCTCCTGCTCTTTAAAATACGGCATATCATCTTCCTCAGTCTGCTGTTTTTGCCCTGCACCTATAGATTTGCGTATATAAAAAACGCCTTTTTCTTACTAATCTTATGTTAGCAGAGACTGAAAGGCTTTTCATGTTAGAGACACAAAAAAGAAATCCAAATCAGCTAAACTAATTTGTATTTCATGCTGACTGGCATGGGACTAATAGACAAATCTTCACAAGACAAAAAGGAATATGATTTAAATGTGTTAAGTGTTTGGGTTATATGTTAGTCATGACTTCTCTGACAGTTAGGACCAAATCATGAACTGCATTATCTCTGCAAAGCAGTTCAACTGGATTGAAAGACCTGTAGGATGTGTCTGACAAAGTGGCAACTGCAAGAGTATGTAAAACAGACTGTGGTGTGTATTTACCTGAATACCTTAGTGTCAGAGGTGTAAAGAGTACGAAAATATTCTACTCAAGTAAAAGTACTGTTACTTTGATGAAATTTAAATTTCATCAAAGTAACAGTATCAGTTTAAAAATGTACTCAAAGTAAAAGTAAAAAGTAGCAGGTTTAAAATGTACTTTAAGTAAAAGTTATTATTATTATTTTTTTTTAACAACGGACCTCTCCTGTGAAGTGCAATAAAGACGCGAGGATTTAAATCTCAAAGTTGTTTTTAATTAAGGGAAATCTTTACAAATAAAGTGTATTAACAACATAAAACATGTCAACACATGACAGAATATTCCCTTCCTGTCGAAAAACAAATCTGTCAAATGAACCACGTGGCAGCTGCAACAAAGAAAATTGCCCTGCCTCACTGCATCTCTTAATTAAAGTTCCTATATTTGTGGTTTCTTCTTTTGAACATTACTCACTAAACTTCCTGTTTAGTTTGAGCAGAAGCTGGTTTTCAAAGTTAGTAGAGTTCATCCTTGCTCTCTTTGCAGTGAACAGGAGTCCAGCACAGCTGAAGAGACGCTCACAGGCGGCTGAGGCAGGCAATCCAGTGTTGAGCTTGAGAGAAAGTTTTTTGATTTGTGTAAATGAGTTCAGCAGATCCATATTGTTTGAGACACAGGCTCGGTACCCATCCAGCTCCCCTGTACCTTGTGACCTTCTGGAATTCAGAATTGAGAAGAAGAAATCATCTTCATCTCATGAATGTTGCCCAACTTGCTCCACCCCAGCCTCTGCCATCTGGTCAAGGTGTTGTCTCATAGCCCAGACCTGTTGAGTGACAAACAAACAACAACACATATTGAATATTTTCATCATAATGCAGAAATTAAAATAACTACAACTTGTTTAGAAAGACCCATGTTACTGCACTTATCACATGTCGATAGAAATATAGTGAATAGAACTGGGATGTATAATTAACAACTGATTGATATTAAATAATTAAATCGTACCTTCTTCTATGGTATCAGCACTCTCAGTCCAGGTGGTCTTGAACTTTTGCAGAAGGGTCTTCAGTCATCCCACCAAAGTGCTTTTGGACACCATTCTGAATGGCTCTGATGAGGGGCAGACACATCTTGGAGGACGTCTCTTGTCTGCTGAGTTTTGCTTGTAGCTGTAAGATCACTGGCAGAAGCCACCCCAAGTGTATGTTGGTCTCAGACTGAAGAATGTTTAAAGCTTTCACCAAAGGCTTCATCACAGTGCAGTACTCAGTCAGGAAAGCAATTTCAGCTGAACTCAACCTGTATAACATAAATCAAATATATACAACTTTTAGCAAACTTCCTGAAGGAATAGGTGTGGAATGTGTATGGAAATGTGCTTCGACAATTTCATATAATTATGGAAAACACAGAAATATGCAAGGTAGCTTTGGGCATCATTTATCATTTCTGTCATTAACATTTAATACTTTAGAAAATCTGAATTAAAACTCGCATGTTCACTTTGAATTCTTCGCAGACATTCCTGATTGCGTCCTCCCCCTTCTCTTATGTGATCCGAATGATTCTCTCTACAGCCATGTATGTTGAGTTCCACCGAGTTTGATTGGGCCGGATGAGCTGGAGCTTGCATTTATCTTGAACAATTTCTGCTGCCATGTATGACCGACCTGACTTGTTCCACATTGCTTGGCATTTTCCAAAGGCTGCGCGTGATAGACGTTTGTATGTGTCATTCTTCTCTTCTGCCATGGCAGCATCTCTTGTGGCGACTAAGTTTAACAGGTGGCATGCACACCTTTGGTGTGGAGGAAGCTGGTACTCAAGACCATTATCTTGCTCCAGGATGCTGAATGTGTCAAGGTAGTCAGCTTTGGGCTCTTCAGAAGAGTCTGACTCTGACTCTGAATCCTCAGACTGGCTTTGCTCACCAAATACACTAAATGCTTTAATAAAGTTTGAGCCACTGTCTGTTGTGTTTCTTACCACTTTCCCCTTATTCTGTATTGACAGTGAATGTTATCAAGGGCACCTGCTAGGACATCAAAGGTGTGGGACCCTTTCAACCTCTGGCAAGCAAGTGCAGCGGATCTACTCTCCAAGGTTTCTTCATCTATCCAATGCGCTGTGACACCTATGAAACTTTGCTGTGGTGGTGGCAACATAGCTGACTTTACTGAGATGCGACATCAAAGTCTTCTTCATCTGGTTGGCAGCTCCCTCTATTCTGGCCTGGAGAGTGGGTCTGGAAATGACCATACATTGGGGATTCAGTGTCAATAAAAGTTCTTTGAAAGCAGGTTGCTCAACCAAAGAAAATGGATGAAGACCCTCACAAATGAGGTTTATCATGAGCTCGTCAACCTTTGCCTGTGGCACACGTCTGTTTGCACCTACTGCCATCAAGTCACTTATTTTTTTTTGCTTGTTTGGGGTATCTGGTGGTTCTTGGTTCGCTTCCGTGTTGCCACGAAGTCAATAAAGTCCTTAAGCTCTGATGGATGTTTCCTCTGTGAACAAAATGTTTACATAATTATCAATGTTGTGTTCAATTGTGTTTTGAATTGGAAATATTTACATTTATAGATAAAAGCTTTTCTACATGCATCGCATTTTGTCTTTTGACATTTCATAATGCACAATTCTTGCTCACAGAGACACCTGAAGATATGAACAAATCATGATTCCTCCCCCCCTCATTCCCTCTCTGACCTGAACTCACACTAAGCGGGCCTGAGCACGGTTACCTCTTGTACATAACGTCGTAATACATGGCTTTACGTGATCATGAAAGAATAAATATATCATAAAGAGATGCGCGATCGAGTCCGCGTCTGCACGTCAGAGAACAACACAGAGAACATGACAGCATTTATTGACTTTGAGTCATGTTAGTCAGATACAGCCATGAAACTCTGGATTTCTCCATAATGAACGCTGTACACGTTGTGTATCCGTGCTTGTGCATGAACTATACCTGCCGAAGCACACCTCTTCCTTACCTCTTCATACTAGACTACGAAAACATAATTTTAACTACCATTGCAACGGCACAAATATTATTTAAATGTAACTTACCTCTACGTGTTTGCACAGGTTTGAAGTTGAGTTTTTATAAGCTGCTAGCTCGGTCACTCTGGGCAAACACAGCTTACAGTGCATAATGAAGCCTTTCTTGCACTTGAAGCCGAAGTGGTCCCTTAAATGTGGCTTCGTTTTCTGTCACAGAATGCAACGTTTCGCCTTCAGCTAGGTCTGCACCATTGTTGTCTGACTTGTCCGTGTCCATCATTCATGTGATTTAGCGCCAGTTTGTTGCCATGATTCACTGCAGTTTTTTAAATTCTTTTTCTGTGGTGTTTATTTGCGGTGGACACGGCAGTTGTCTCTCGCGCAATGTTTTTCTTATCATTTTTATTTAAGCCTACGTTCTCTTTTAATCAGTAACGGATATGTTTTATAATGTAACAAATTACAATACTTAACAAAAAAACTACTTAAGTAAAATAAGTAGTAAAAGTAAAAGATTTTTAAAACTACTTAAAAAGTAGTAAGTACACAAAAAAACTACTCAATTACTGCAACGCGAGTAAATGTAATTTGTTACTTTACACCTCTGCTTAGTGTCAACATTACCTGGAACAAGGTGGCTTCAGAGCTAAAGTGTTTATGAACAAAATGTGTGTGTTGGAGCGTGTAGACACACTTGACTCAAAACCACAAAATGAACTTTGTATCATGGTGAAGTTGCAGATAAGCATGAGCCCCTTTTTAATCTTTAATAAATGAGTATCAGTATTTTGTCCACAGTTGTGTCAACTTCCATGAAAGTGATCAACTGGAAACTCTTCTGGCTTCTCCCACCACCAAGAGAATGAGAATAACAACTAGACACTATTAAGACACACTGGTTCCTGTACATCTAGGATCTGGAGTTTGGTACAAAAAGAACTTGGCTTACTGGGAAAAAAAATCTGAGGAGCTGTTTGGACTGGTAGGAGGCTTGAGACTAAGATGGAGATTAAAGCCACAATCACTGCTGGGCCAAGAAGCAGCTGGAGCCAGAGAGTGCGAATTTCCATTTTTCAATTTCTCATCCTCCAATATTTTCACAGGCCAATTCATCTAAAAGCCCCCGCCCCCTTTGAAGGAAGGGAGGAAAGTATTTGCTTTATGGCAGTCCTTAAAACAAGCCTGCATGTGTTTGTGTGTGGGTGTGCATTCACAGAAGGATAAAATGGCAAAATGTGCATGCACACTGTATGAGAAAGTGAATGTGTAGCTGTAACTGATCTTTAAAGGAGGCAGCATGTTTTGATGGATTTAGAGTTCAGAAGAGAAAAAAAATGAGAAAAAGAATCAGCATCTCTGAAATCTACTCCAGCTACTCATATGCATGTATGAATATTAATGCAACTGTGCTGCCAACAAGCTTTTAAAGAGCTGTACAGTCAAACGTGGCACTGACATATTTTATAGTCGACTTTCAAAGCTTTTATGATATTCGGACAGATGCTGACAGAACCTATCACAATCATGATCTCGGAACAAATGGAATCTGCTCAGTTGTTTTTAGTTACAGCAATAATAAGTGACAGTGAAGTGAGAACGGATTAGAGGGATATTAAAGTGCACCTACTCGCCACTCTGCCCTCCGTTTAATGTCCGAGCTGATATTCAGCTGGTGCCTTGTCTTTTTATAATAGCACATGGGATTTAGGCCTGCTATGAATATGAAATGGTAAACTAATAAATTGGTTTTGGACATAATCACATAAACGTGATTATCAAACCTAACAAAATATGTAAAGTCATGAAACTCTGACTGTTTAGTGTAGCTTTCTATCAGTTGTTGGTGTTTAGTTCTGCATCATTTGATTCAAAATGTACACATTAAAAACAATTTAAAGCGTGGGCCAAAAATGCTGTGGACAGTGACCATAGGTGTGGAAAAAGGGCGTTGGTATTTTGTATGTCAGTAACTGAGATTTGAAAGTCAGTGACATTTATAATTCATTTTACCTACTTTGCCAATACTTTGATTTGCTTACCAACGGATAGAGGTAAATGTTTTTGGTAATTAGTATGTTAATGTTCAATTAGTGTTCATGGTACATGTTGACTTTTCTGAGATAATTGGCTGAGAAAGCAAAGCTAGAGGCCTTAGCCTTGCTCTACTGCAATACTCTGGTAGTACATGTTGCAGCATATTCAGACAGGACTTGATTTACTATCTGGCAATATGGTTGCCCCTGTCAGTGTGGGTTCTGTCTTGAGTCATATTCTTCAAGATGAAAACTGGGAATAATGTAGGATACACATACAATAAGCATAACTCATACTGTAATTGTTCAGTTGTACTTGGGGACTGTGTTGCAAATAATAATACAATAATAATTCTGTAAAATTACAGCTCTGATAGATAGATAAACAATATAAGAACAGGACTTACCAGGTATAATAACTTAGAAAATAACAACATTTTCTTCAGTCACATCTGACCGCTCATGTTTCTACAAGCTTATTGAAGTTCAAATATTTCCAGGTGGCATCACAGACTGACTGCAATTAAATGTGTATAATTAAAAATGATTCGTCCAGCACAATTTAAAATGTATCCAAACATCCCTTTCACTCTGAATAGGCAATGCCATTTTTGCAGATTCTGTCATAGTTTGTGTGCTGTATTACAATTCATATCAGAGACTGTGATTCAAAGCCAAAGTAGCCAGCAACAACAACATCACTTCACGTTAATTTAAGGTGCTAGGAGGACAACAGACTTGCAGATAAAAGAGCAGGAAACAGTCATAGCCTGCATAACAGATGGACATAATGTCAGTGACGTCACCCATTGGTTTCTAAAGAGCCTTTTTGAAGCCCAATCAGCTGAAGCAGTTCCTGACTCCACCTAACTTTGTTTCACCCTCAAACATGCAAAGAGATGGATGCAGCAGGCCTGAAGCGTCTTTATGATAGCAACAATGTGCCCACCTGTCATTCAACTTGAACACACCCAACTCTTAGCCCCATTACAATGTTTATTTCTGATGTACAAATGACTCTTCTAATATGGGATCCTATGGGGATTTGTTTTTTTTTTTTAAACCAGCCTCAAGTGGACTCTCAAAGAACTGCAGTTTTTTTCCCTCCAGCATTGGATTCATTTATCAACACCGGAGGAAGCCGCTCGCGCCCAGTCAACAATGACTTTGGTATCACATAAGATCCAAACTTGATTGTGTCTGAGAATCCTTTCATCGCCTTGGGGATGGACTTCCCAAGTGATGGTATGTCATTGTTTGCCCTGTGTCCACATGTCCTTTTCACACTTTAGATGCCACCAGGATGCTGTCACAGAGTAGTGCTCATTTCTTGTATTTATGTGAAATCATGCTATTTGAAAAAGACATCCTAACATTTGAGATGATGCTTTAGTGACATGAAATGCATTCTACGGAGCTGTTCAGTTAATAAAAACAGTTTAGATGAAAAAATAAACAATGACTTTATTTCTAATTGGCACTTTACAGACAGAAATCATACCACATGGCACTCAACATGTCACATAATACTTACACAAACAAGACGCTGGAAAGGAGACAGTTTTCCATCAGAGTTTGAACACAGACAATTTTTCTGTTTTCATCAGAAGCTATCATCATATACGACACATTCTACTTTTGTTTAATTTGCTAGTGATTTGAACAATAGATGCCCTGTATAAAAACATGAAGACACTGATTATTAGTCACCACAGATAACAATAATGGAGGGATAAGTGGTGCTAGCAGTATTCTCTCTCCTCCATTCCAGATATTTTTTCCTGTTGAAAATAGACATTGAACTCGATATGAGAAATTCAGTTGTTGTTTTTTTTGATAAAAACAAATGACAAACTTTTTTTTTCAGCTTCTATTTTCAGTCCAAAATTAGTTTTCTGAGCTATTGCTATCCACTCAGCAATCTGTGATTGGCTATGATGACAAAGTCACACTCACAAAAGATCAATGTAAGTGGAATTGATAGATTCAAAATGCAAACATTAATGAGGGAAACTTTGGTGATTCACACACTTTCTACAGCTAACAGACAGTAACAGGAACTCAAAAAGCTGATGTTGTTACTGGCAGGAAGAGCTCTCTGTCAACAGACTTTTACTCCCAACTTGTCAAATATGACAGGAGTGGTCAGCAGCCCTCCACTTCAAGATATGACGATAACAGGAACCCTGTAGCTTCAGTTTACACATACACACATGGATCTCCTGTGCAAAAACAAATGTTGACATATGACAAGGACTTCGAAAATAAAGCTTGGTGACTGATATTGAATATTTTATGAGTGTGGACCTGCAATAATCATGGACAAGTGATGCATACTGTGAAATGGTCACAGTTTGGCCGTGTTTAGGAGCAAAAAATTAGAAATACGAGGAAATATTTAATCTTTATAAACTGCAGTCTGAGTTACGTCATTTAAGATTGTTACATAACTA